CAGCTATTTTGGATTTTGTTGCATTCTGAAGAGTGGTTGGAGAAAAAAAATGACAGTAGGGGTTTAGGGTAGTCTTTGCCACTTGAAATTGTGTGTTTTAGCTGCACATGTGAGAGGCTGTTGCATCTCTATGCAGCTTTCTTGCTGGTTTTCATTGATTCAATATACTGTACATGTATGCTGGTTGCATGCATATGAATGTGTATGTACACACCACTATGCAATTGGTACATGTACATCTTCATACAAATGGCAAGTTGTACATACACGTAGGCATGTATGAACATGTACCATACTGAGTCATTTGACGCCTAACAACTACCTGGATATGACCATGGATTGCTGGCAGGTTATTTAAAAGCCAGTCATTCATACTTTTTCCCCCCATGAAGTAATAACCATGCATACAAGTAGGTCTACGTGTACATAGCAGACTAAAGTTAATTAGGTGCTTGACTTCTTGTTCATCTGTGCTTGAATGATTTTAGCAGACATCCTTTGTCTGGGTCAGGGTAAGGCTTCAACAAGTGTTGTCATGAACAAATGATACATCTGAAGCAAAAATGTCACCTTGTTCAAAAATACTTTTTTACAAACAATATTCACATACATGTGTTTAATATCAGGTAATTCTTGATATAAAGAAGTTGTGTTTACGTTCAGGCAGTGTAGCAGATTTCCACGTCAGTTTCTTCTTAGTGTGACATATGTTGTATTTAATTACATGTACATTTACATATAGAGTTACTGCATTGTCTTCTTTTTGCAGAATTACGGCATGGCAAACCACCGGACAAACCACCGGACATACCTTGCCAGATGGAAATAATGCACTCGCCTCCCATTCGCATCCCAACTACTCCCAGAGCCCCCCTATGCCAGCAGGCTCAGTCGAGCATCCCCCATGCTGAGTACTTGGACAGTCATGAAGGGGACAGTGAACTCTCTCTGCCACCGAGAGCGGCCTCACAGCCGCAACCGTCAGAGTTGACCTTTGACACAGTACTTAAACCATTGTCAGTTCATTTAGTGCAAAGGCAGGAGTCACCCCATGGTTACACAGTGGGCAGAATCAGGGAGGATGCGTCGCCAGTGGTGTCCGGGAAACCTAATTCACCCTTAGATGCACAGGTAAATTGTATTAACATGACTAACATGAAACCATTATTGTTTGTACTACTCCAACCCAAACCATCCCCAATCCTCCCAAATCTTCTGAGCAGTTGTCTAAGATTTTGGAGGACTGAGGCTGAACGGCAAAATAGCCTGGCTGATAGCGAAGGATGCGTTGTGTTTAGGTCTTGAGTTAGACTCTATGTAGTTCATGCTCTACCATGCATAAAATCATGTTTACATGGAGATTATACGTGAAATCATCCATACTGCTCCAGGAAATCATTTACACTGCCTCAACATAATGACAGGAATTGCCTGTATATTTGTATAATAAGTAAAGTCTTGAGAACTTATGGTGAGAATTTCTAAGCTTACTTGGATGGTGTTTGAACCAGCAACCTCTTGCTTACCCATGCCAGTGTTCTACCACTCAGCCTCTGAGCTATTTGAGGTTACCTGGCCTGGTAATGAATATAGCCAGAGGCACTTCAATTAACCATTTGATGATGGAAGATTTGGCATTGGGATATGTTGTTGGTTGAAAGGCAAAAACTCTTCCTCCCACCTGTAAAAACTGAACATTTTTCATTGTCTTAATTATCACTTCATCCTGTAATTGGCGCTAAATGCATGTTGTTAGAAGCACATTTATATAAATAAATATGTAAAGCAATAAATTCTGCAAATGCCAAACGATTCCATCCAATTGTCATTCACTAAAGATACTTTAGCACAGTGACAGTGGACAAGAATAGTAATGGAGGACAGTGTATCATTTCACGGCTTAATGCTGAGCGGAAACGTTTAGCCATGAGCTGACAATAGCAAGCAAAATTGTGCTAACCTTAAACATCGTTCATGGCATGGATGTGCTAACACTTGCACACTTATGGATATACATGTTTGTATTGTTGTGTGTCTACTGCTTTGTATTTAGGGAGTTTGTCCAAAAGGTCACCGCAACTTAACCGCACGCATTCACCACGGTTAAGCCGTGTTGCTAGGAACAGCAGCGTTGAAGTTCACTCATGCAAAGAACATTTAATGAGGCTGCTCCAGGATGAAAGCAATTGTTATGCTGATGCTCTTGAATTATGCATGCCTGCCGCAGCGACCGTGGTCAACCCGAACATTCCATGCGTGGTGCACAGACAGACGCTCGATGTACATGTTCATGTATATCTATTGGTTATTCTCGGAATGTGTAAAGTCAGCGCCGCATCTGCAATTCAAAGCGTCAGGGACACAAACGCGGTGAATTCTTCTCAGACTGTCACAAAAAAGCAGACTCTGTACATGTATACTTGTATGCAACAAAGGTGATCTGTGCAGTGCCCAAAAATATATATTTTACTCGGCACAACATCGAATCACACACGGAGAGCGCTTTCCTATTTCAACGCGCGCAGGTGTTTATGTACAGCATTGTTTGCACAGATGTGTACACCCAGACTTGTGCAAGGATTAAACGATGTGACTTTTTGTCACTTCATGAAAATAGAGAAACACAGAGGCTAAGTTTTTTGTTTGTTGTTTGTTTACAGTTACTATGAAATTAAACAACATTTTGCTTTGAAACTCTGCTAATTTATTCTTTAGATCAAAGGAAGTAAAATGGTTGGAAAAACTCCAGATTGAAAAAGTTTTTATTTTCCACCGGTGGGTTTTTGTCACTTTGTGAAAACACCGACGAATTAATCAAATATATTGTGATGTGTTTAGAATAATACAATTCACTGTGCATGTGAGATTAAAAAAAGTAAGTACATGTGATCCAGGGATTTTAAAAGGCTTTTGATCACCATGGATGACGATGAAAGCTAAATGGCATGCACATGTAGGCCTGTGCAATTAGTTGGGCACTTGAGATGTGACAGTTGTCGAGTGAACTTATTTGGGCGTATTTTTATCGGATTTGGGAAGAGAATTTTGTTTCGACATTTGTGTAATCAATGTAAAAAATCATGGATTTTTAATTGTGCTTTACATTTGTCATGACTACAGGAAACTGGAAAATGATGTCTGTGTATCGCGTTGTAAGCGTGCATGGCGCATCTGGAGGGGTGGGCGATTAGCCTCGTGCTGCGGTTGGAAATTTTGTTGGAACACGCTCGTTTCAAATACGAGCAATACATACATGTACATGAACACAGAAAACACAAACATAGACCTAAGATCACTGCTTGTGAATGAACCTGCAGAAAAATTTGTGATGGCAGTGTTTTTTTCGACTTGCAACTGTAGAGCTGCAGTCGTATACGATGTACGTGTAGTGGAATATTCACAACCCTTTTTGGCAGGAACTGTACATTGACGGGTTGCCACATATCCCTCATGCCTTCTTTGCCAACAGTTCAGCCCGTTGCAAACCAGTGTGATGCACTGCGCATGTGTTTTCACCACCGCGATTTGTAAATGCTCGTAATTGGTCAGTTCATATTTGGCAGGAAAGCAAACACGTACGGAAAATTTAGAGGTCAGAATTCGCAGAAGTTGAACTCACTTCATCTCTGGCGAAATATCACGACAAATTTTTCATGACATCGTATTCCCTTCATTTTTGCGTTTGCGTAAAGTATGGACCAGCCTTCACACTTTCATGGGTGTATATTAAATTTGCTCTTTCCTCTTGCCCTTCACCAAAAACGTATGCAATGGTCCGTTGACCATGTAGGTGTACATTAAAAAACAAAAAGTCTGAGACAAAAATACCCGCTTTATTCACCACTTTAACATGTACATATTCTATAGACTATTGAGTCTAAAAACTCACTTGAAGTGCTTCTCAAAGTAGCTCTGGGGTGATGACATCAAGGTTGCAGGCAGGGTTGGAAAGATTATGTATGGGGTGTTTCTAAATATTATCATAAACTTGGGGATAATTTGAATTTTACCCAAAAACATTAACAAGAGACACAAAAATCTAAAGCTGAAAATGGGTATGCTGTCATTAAGCATTGGGGAAAAAAAATATTTATTTTGAGAGGCCAAAACATGCAAGATTTCTGAAATACATGCTCGGTCTTTGTTTTCAGATTGAAAGATTTCATTCTGAAATTAACCTATGCCCCTTCTCCCTGAAAAATTACACAAAAAATGACCAACAATAATCATTTTCTTAGACAATGACGATTCTAATTCCCTCCCACGTATTTGCGTATTTACGTCGCAAACAAATTGGGACATTAAATTTTTAATGGCTGAGGGCCTTTCAGTCAGAATAAAAGTAAAAATTATCCAATCTGCAAAGAAAAAAATCTCCTTTCGAAACAGTGATTGGCAGCTCCTGTGTGTGCTTCTCCAATGGGCTCCAAGAATAGCAGGTGGTTCTCCTCAAACATTCATACAAACTATTTCTTTGAATACTAGCAGTCATTGGGAATTTTAAATTGTGCCTCTGAAAGAAGACAATTGACATTGTAAATACAGCAGTGAAAGGGGTTGGCCAGTGCCGACTATTTCAAAGTGAATGAATTTGGGCTAACCAATCACGCACTGACAAACTCTGTGGCACAAAAGTGTAAATTTTAAAGAAGGACCTTAAGGACCGCAAGTCAACTGAATGTGACTCTTGTGCTAGGGCTAGGGGACTGGATTCCAATAAATTTAAATAGTCGCGGTGGCCGTGGCTCCCCAAAACATCCGCCGCGGTCGGATTTTGCTAGCTGCACTCGGCGTAAAAATTTAAATTTCAATAGGGGGCTTTGTTAGTCAGTACCTTTGATATGGAAAGTTCGCACGGGCAGTGGACAGTCGGCTGGTTGCTAAGAACCCGTGAAAACCACAGTATCTGTGTTCAAACCGCGGTTCAACCTTTTGGACAAGTTCCCTTACACGTACATGTTATTACGCCCTATAATCTCTGTGAAATGGAATGCAGGCAGAAAGTCACAGTACCATATGATAAGGCGCAGATTCCAATTCTCAAAGTTCAAGACTAGTGTAACCAAGACACCTTAAACCCCATGATTCTTTGCCAAACTAAGAATTCCCTGTTTGGTAGTCAAACCTGACTCTTACACAAGCATGTTGGTTGTACATGAGAAAAGTGGCAAGACCGACAATGTAGCACATGAGCTAGATTGATTTACATGTATCATGGTACCTCATACACATGGGTGTCACCAGGAATTTACGGGGGAAGGTAAAGCACTCATTGCCAGTGAGCTGATAAACCATGGGAGAAGAGGGTTTTTCAACAATATTTTCAAGCAGATGGATAAATGTTATCCCCTTTCCTGCTGTTGTGATTGTTTTTCTCATTTTTTCCCTTTCCTCTCTCCCCCCCCCCTTTTTTGGCTAGTGGGAGCAAGTGCCCCTCCCCCGCCCCCTCCCACAATGTCCATACATTCATGACTAAGAGCTAGCCCTGTGGACGTTGTCTATATTGCATTGCGACTAACATCTAGGGTATAAAGTTCTGCCACAGTGAAATTTTTGTCTTTTTTTTATTTCCCCTCACATTTTTACCTGACTGAGGCAGCTCAAATGTGGTTCACAAGTGCTTTGTATCCTGAATTCCATAAACACTGTGTTGAAATTACTAAATACGCTCACAGACGATGTATTTTGCAGGAAATTTAGTGCAACTTCACACTTTCAGTCGTGATTTGTGAACGATCTACGTTTGTCTAGCAGTGGGAATGCGCGAAATGCATAGCAACTGATTTCCCCTTACGCATCTGCGGACAACATGGTGCCATACTCAAAACACATGAGTGGAAAGAAACCTCAACCCCTGTCTCAAACTTCCAATTTTTAAAGCTTGGCCCACATTCTGTCAGTTATCTGCACCTTATTCGTGCTCACAGCTCTTCCATGCATGCGTAAAGGGAGGTCGATTGCAGTGCAATTCGCACATGCGCAACTGCGTGCTACCCGACAAATATAAGCGTGGAGTTGCGCAAAATTTCCTGCAACATAGGTCATCTGCAGGCATATGTAGTGATTTCAACACAGCATTTATGGAATTTGGGATACAAGGCACTGGTTGAACGACATTTTAACTGCCTCCGCCTGGTAAAAATGTGAGAAAGAACCATTGAAAAAATTTCGCTATGGCAGGAGGACATTATACCCTGGATGTCAGTTGCAGTGTAAATAAAGACAACTTCCATCCTGGGCTAGACTAAGAGCTATATGTATTTTCCCACTGGTCCATTCGTCCATTCGCCATCATGTGTTAGTCACTGATGTTGCCACTGACCAAGTGTACACATAAATAGGCAAGTATAGTAAACTGTATCCCAGCTAACCTGGAGAACAGTTTACTATGCACATGCTTCATAAAGCTACTGATATCTAGTGGAACTGTCACTTGGGTGAGTTGCGCGTGCAAAAGCATCAGCCTAGCTACATGTGGAAAGCTAAGCTTCCTGATCCTTTTTTGGCTCACACAGGATCAGAAATAAAGCACTAAGACCCCCATTATTTTCACACAGTGTTAGCATGCAAAGCCAGTACACGTTAACCATAAGACCATTTTGTGAATCATAAGATAATGACTTCCACCCAGGGCACCCTGGCTAGAGAATTGTGTGGCTAGAAACCCACTTCCCTGGTACAACGTACATGAACATGTAGATTCTACAGTGTGTGCATCTGTTGGTTGACAGCATTACATGTATGGGGAAAACATCTTGTCAGGAAACTCTGATTTCCAATAACCTGTTATCCTTGTGCCCTCCGGGTATAGGGTTGACCCTTAAGCCTCTCTGTGTTAGAACAGTGATTTCAGTTTCAAGCCACAGAATAATTTCTTGAGGCAGGACTTGAACATTTTTAGGTAATTTCAAAATTTGCTTTGAAGTTTATTGTGAAGGTTCATGTCCAGTAAGAGCTTTTCAGCCTCAAAGATGTATGTACATATCAGTAAAGAAGAACCCTAGCACATGATCACTGTACATTTAGGAAGCACCAAGTTTAAAGGCCAGTTCATATATCATGTGAAAGTGAACAAACATGCGAATTTGTGATGTCAGATCGAATATTTGTGCTGTGAATTCACAAAAGTTGAACGCATTTCAACTCGAGTTAAATTTCACTACAAATCTTGCATGACGTCAAATTCGTTCACTTTTGCATTTGCCTATAGTATGATGCAGGAGGTGTTCCTACAAGTTCATGTTGTTCCTGTATGTTGCTGAATTTGCTTGTGAATGGGACAGGTCAGTTTCCTTGTACATGGGTCATTCTATAAATTAGTGGTCCAATTTTTTTGTGTCCCTGTCACATCTGACATAACAATTGTATAATTTCCGCGAGTGATGAGTTAATGCAAATTACTTGCCCAACAAATAAAAATAGTTTGAAATCAATTTCAGTGATATTTCAATGTCAAATTACACAGGTCAGGTGTAACAGGGACATAATAATGTCACACATTTGGACCTTGGATTTGTAGAATGACCCGCATGTAGTTTCCTGATTAAATAGCCCACTTGATCTTTGACCTTAATTGAATGTTCTTAAATACTTCCAGGATGCTTTTTCCAATCTGGTGAGTCCCACCCTTCCAGTTGTCAGGATTGAAAAGATGTCACCCCAACAAGCCAACGAGGCTTCCACTCTGGGAATTTCACCAGTGTCATTGGCTAGCAGCCAACAGACCACAATTGAGCTGGCTCCAGTGCCGACCGGATCCATCCAGTGTGCTCCCAATCTTGTTCCTCAGCAGCAGGCTCAGTCACTGGCCCATCATCACCAGCCAGCCAAACCAGTTCCAACTGCCATGGTCCAGTTGGCGCCAGGTCCCACCACAATGATGCAGACGGTTAAGCCAGGTCTAGTTCAGCCACCACCAATCCAACCAGCTCCAGCTCCTACCAGTTTGGTTAAGCTTGCTCCTGCTCAGCCTGTGCAGACGAAAAAGAACAAGAAGCTGTCGCCAAAGAAGAACATTCTGTGCAAAGGTCTGTCACCATTCATGGTTTATGGTTTATTGACAAAAGATCTCATCACAGTAACAACAAAATGAATTGCAAAACCTTTACAATTCATATATCATAAATTACATCAGTTTAACCATTTACAATCTAAAAATCTACAAAATTTAAGTCAAATTAATAAAACACGTATATAAAACATGCAAGATTAATTAGCCATTTAAAACCATAAACAAGACAAGACTTGTTACATAAAATGCACACAAATTAATTAACTACTTAAAACCATTAACAAGGCAAGATTCATTATATAAAACACAGAAATTAATTAATCGCTTGAAACCACAAATAAAGCAATAACAGATATGATGGGCCGGATTTAAAAGTTCATGTTTTGGTGTCATTCATCATTCAATTAAAACACCATTGTATATAATGTACAGAAAGAGACCCCTTGCTGATCCCATTAAATCCAAGCTGCAAACAGAAGCCTGAATTTAAGGGTTTTTGTCAAAATTGACCCTCCGCGAACTCCGCGTAGCTCGCTGACAAAGTTTGGCCCTTGGCAACCGATCGCCAGCGAACCCTGCAAGCTTATTTGCATCGGCTAACAATGGGCTTTGTTATGCTAATTTTCCAGGTCCTCTGAGTCAGTAAATTAGTGACTATGCAAGGTTCGCGGACTAACCGCCGCTCCGATCTCTTTGTGGCCAATATGTTGGGGGCTCTTGGTTCATAAAACCATAGGCATTTCTGGGCAGTTCATGCAGGCTTCTCGAACATTCTTTTGACTTCTATCATAAGCTGATAAGTGAATATATAAAAGCAAATGTGTCAAGCTCTGCAATCTGGGTGACACTGTTGCTTATACTGGTGATACTTGGCGACCTCAGGTAGAAGACCTGATTTTACCATAGTCATGGGGATTTGAAGCCAACAACGACTGCAAGCAGTCAGGGGAGCTGACTACAAAGTAACAATGCGAAGGAAGAATGCGCTGCGCAGTATTTCACAAGCTGGTACATGCAAAGCTCGGTGCAGTACAGGGGCTAGCTTTAGCATTAAAAGTGCCCCCTGTAGAAAAAGCAGGCAGTTTGGCCCCTAAAAGTGGTGAGACTGTGTAAACCTTTGCCAAGTTCAACTCCCTGGGTCTTTGGACTTTCATCCGAGAGCAGAGTGCTGAAAAACACAGTTGAAAACATGGTCCTAAGTGCCTGAGAAAGTTGAGAGTTGCCACATGAGCAATGGCTGAAAGCCGAGTTCAGAAATATCACTTTTTGGGGTAATCTTGTTTTGTGGGAATAATAAAAAGAACTGGTTAACTCACAAAAAATGAAAAGAAACTGAAAGATTAGGAACTGGAAGATAATTAAATGTGTGTTTCAGATACCTCGGGGATGTTGGTATGCATTACAGGCCCTAAACATATTGCTGTCAATTACCTTGACAATACTGTTGCCAGGCAACCTCTGAAAGCCCGCCCCTTTGAGCGGCCATATGATCACGCTTGGCGTACATTCCTGACAACAGTCGCCCAATAATAAAAATGAACCCCTCCAGCCCAGTCCCTTGGATAAGTCTCATTGGTCTACGCAAACGTGGGAAGCTGCCGGCGCCCAGTTCCCACTGTCCTGTCTTGGCAATGAGCCATGGGCTAGTTGTTGATGGCTATGCTGGTGATCTTAATACAGTATATCCACAAAAAAGGCCAAACAAAATGTGCATGGCACAAAATTAGGTTTTGCATAATTACTGGTGCCATTAAGGCCTAGTTTGACTAGGCTCCAGTTTAGAAAGTGATTACACTACCAAAAAAAAGATAACAGCAGTTTCAATTCAGTGGTTTTTTTGATTGTGTTGGAAATTTGAAAACTTCGCGTCAGGTACAGGGCATAATGGCTTGGCACAATGAACACATTTTGCCTTTATGGGTTGATTTTTTTAATACGGTACCCATGCCACCAATGGCAATTCCCTATTTAAAATCCAGCATTATTGTACATACATTTGTGAGAGCTGCTTTCGTCTTGGACTTGGTAGCAATAATTACATGTACTTGTTTATTGCACCGTGAAGGGTTTCATACAAGAATTATTGGTCCCCGATAAAAGCTCCAATCGATATGTTTACTGTCTATTACAAAAAATTATAAGAGCTATTTTATTAAAACAAAACACACACACACACAAAATCAATCTCTGAAGGTTTTAATAGACAACAGACAATAGAAATAAACAATTTTCAGAAATAAACAATTTAAAAGCTCCAAATGAGAATAATATAATAATAAACACCCTACTCATTTCTGTTGATTTCAAGGGTTGTAATGAATTACACAAATATTTCTTTAAGGGATCTTTTCAGCAAATATAGCACAAAATACAGACATAATCCAGCATTAATCTGAATACAAGTTTCCATGTCTGATTTATTTCCGGCTGGTGAGTTTTTGCCACTCTTGAATTTTCCTCTGCTCTGCTCTCCCATCACGGTGTTGTTTTTTTTTTCACTCTTGTCTGGTATATTTCTGGCATTTCTGCAGCAAATTAAACAGATTTGGCAAAATGTTTTCTTATTTTGAAGAATATGAAATCTACATGTACGCATGCACAAGTAGCCTAGCTCTTCAAGCAAGGGTTTACACCACCAAATGAGAACAATGAGATGGGGACGACTTCAAATTTTGGGGTGAATCTCTGACATTAACC